GTGTACTACATACAATTAAAAATACACACATATCCGTCACATTACAGGAAATACACAACACAGACAAGTATTCACTAATTCAGTGTCAACCAGTCCTAACATTATTTATTTATTTAACTTTTACCCTGCCCTGTAATGATAAGAAACTGATGTAGTTGATGATATGAAGTAATTTGGAGCAGGGGTGGAAGCATTGCGGGAAGCCACTGGAGGGAGGGGAGGAATTGGGAATGGGGTAGACAATTGATAGAATGAAATGTTTTAATTATATACGTTGTATTCCTGAGAAAAAATAAAATTTGTTTACCAAAAAAACCAAAAACTTTTACCCTGCCCTACCCGCCAAGGCAGGCTCAGAGCGGCTTCCACAAAACTGCTAAACAGTACACATTTTACAACTGATAAAATGAAGTAAATGATTTAAAAACACAGACAAATCAATTTAAAACATCACTTCGATGGCAATAAAAATAAAGTGCAATTTAAGGACACATTCAGCGGTGCCGCCGCGCTAAGTCGTGTTGGATCAGAGTTCACACAGGGCGCTGCTGGTAAGACGCCACTCCTAACGGAATGCTTGCCTAAAAAGCTCTGTTTTCACGGCCCTGCGGAACTGTGACAGGTCCCGCAGGGCCCTGATCTCGTCAGGAAGCTCGTTCCAATAGGACGGAGCTACAAACGAGAAAGCCCTGGTCCTAGTTGCCATCAACCTGACTTCCTGATTTTCATTATTCAATTAAATCTAAATGTTGTGTGTCAGTGTAGTCTGTTAATATGGTGTGGGATATTTTTTTAATTTAATTTTATCCTATTTTTCAGCCTCATCTAGGGCCTTCCATGTGGTTAAAAACAATCAGAAACAAAAAAATTCCAATGTTCTAACATTTTAGTATCCAAAAATCAAAATACTATAATAAAAACATCCAGAAGATGCAATAAAAGAGGCTAAGGTGTTGCCCAGTAGTCACTCAGGTCCAAAGCCATTCAGAATATCTTTTCTTTGAAAGATGTGTAGTGACAGACAGTACCTTACAATAGGTCCATACCCAGGGATCAGCAACAGGGATCCCAGCCATACTTATCTTAGACAGTACAGGTTCCTGCATGTAGATTATGAGGTTAGTTTTTAAGATGCCACTGGACTTCTGTTTTGTCTTGCTACTGTAGACTAACATGGATACCCATCTGGAATTATTCTGCAGGCAGGCCTCCTCCACTGTTTAATGGCAAATCCAGGGACCTGAGACTATTGACAACACACTGCTAAATTTACTGTATAATTTTCAGCTAGTACATACTGTTTGTTACACTCATACCCTATATGCTTAGACATACAACTAAAAATATGAGTGAGGTAAAAATCCTTTCGAGAACACTTTCCCTATGAGGAAAGGTTAAGGCGCTTAGGGCTCTTTAGCTTGGAGAAACGACGACTGAGGGGGGACATGATTGAGGTTTATAAGATTATGCATGGGAAAGAGCAGGTAGAGAAAGAGGTACTTTTCTCCCTTTCTCACAATACAAGAACTCGTGGGCACTCCATGACATTGCTGAGCGGTCGGGTTAGAACGGATAAAAGGAAGTACTTCTTCACCCAAAGAGTGATTAACACTTGGAATTCACTGCCCCAGGAAGTGGTGGCGGCTACAAGCATGGACGGCTTCAAAAGGGAATTAGATAGGCATATGGAGCAGAGGTCCATCAGTGGCTATTAGCCACAAGGTATAGATAGGGACTCTGGGGCAAGTGACGCTCTGTCATCTTGGTGCTTGGGGGGGTCAACAGTGGGATGGCTTCTAATGTCCTGGCCCCACTGGTGGACCTCCTGATGGCACTGGTATTTCTGGCCACTGTGTGATACAGAGTGTTGGACTGGATGGGCCTTTGGCCTGATCTAACATTGGCATCTCTTATGTTCTTAATGAAAGTTTTACATTTCTTGAGAATGTTTATAGAAATAAATAGCAGATAATATTCAGTGGTACCTATGCACTAGCTAATTAAATAAATAAGATTTCACACTACTGACGTGAACTGGGCTACCAAATACTGATTGTTTTATACAGTTGTCAATTAGAATATTTCAGCTGTTCAATAATCTATTCAATGATTTTATATTTAGACAAATATTTGAGAGGTAATCACATCTTTTAAAACATACTGTGGGATCTGCTGTAAGAATACACCAATGAAAGGGTTTATGATTTCTTTCAGGAAACAGACTGATCTAAGTGAAATTAAAATTAACAGATACCGAGGAAATCTTGTGCATATTCAGCAGTTGTTAACAACTTTAAATTGCTGTTACCAGAAATAAGCCTAAAACTTTACTCTGCTTATATTAGAACAGGATGTTTAAATGTGCTGCTGTAAAACACCATTGTCAGCAGTCTTGTTTCTACAGCTATTTCATTTTATGTCAGAAAGGTAGGAAATCAAAACCAGCAGTAGGCTGATTACAGAAAAGATCAGAGTTCCTTCCTTCTAATGAACCCTTTTAACCAAGTTAAAGAGATCAGTATGTGTAAAAATCAATGGTAGTAAACTATTTCCTTTTAAAATAAATGCTTGATGATCATATGCATAGTGTTTTATAAGACTTATGTTTGCAAAGTTCACCCTTCATTCAAAATATGGAATATCACACATGTCACAGATATTATTAGCACAAGTATAATATCATACACAAGGAGTTGGATTTGATCACTTTCAAGAGATAGACTGCTGTCAGTTCATAGCTGAACACAAAGTGTCTTGTGAATAATAATATACGTAATTAACATTCTGATAATTCTTATCAAAAGTGAAACGCCACCTTGCCTGACCATGAACTTCAACAAACAGGTTGACTGTTAATCTGTCAATATCCATTGAGTTCAGAGGGTTAGGAGATCAGTCCTGAACAGGTCTACTTGGGTCTATTCAATGGGGCTTACCTTCAGGAAGTATTTTTAAGACTGCCCTATGGGTTTGAGCCCTATGCCCTGACCTGGGTGGTCCAGGCTTGTTCATCTCGTCAGATCTTGGAAGCAAAGAAAGGTTGGCCCTGGCCAGTATTTGGATGGGAGACCTCCACCGAAATCCAAGGTTGTGATGCAGAGGCAGGCAACGGCCAACCACCTCTGAATGTCTCTTACCTTGAAAACCTATGGGGCTGCTATATGTCAGCTGCGACTTGACAGCACTTTCCACCACCATGAGTTTGAGCCTTGGTTTGCTGTCCACATTTTAGCTGCAGAAAGCTTGTGTGTGACTCTCATTAGAGCTGTCACCTCCCCCCCAAAAATCTCAGATTATCAGTTATAATAGTTGATTAATCCACTGCATGAATTTGCATATGGATAAAACCACAATTGTGAAGATAAAATGTATTTTCTGTTTTCAAATGAAGCATACACATGCTGAGGCAGACATCTCTTGCCTTCTCTCCTAGAAGGTCTAGTAGCATCTACCTCCTGACATCTTTAGGTCATACAAAATACTGCAATAACGTGCAAACAATTTCCCGCTATTTACACGATGCCCTGAGGGATATTAGGAATGTATGACACACTTTTCTGTGGAAATCGGAGAATTCTATTGGAATGTACTTGATCCAGTGAAGACACTTCTTTATGTGGTTTGATGTTGGAAGAAGTTCCCTAACGAAACGAAACATCAAACTCCGGAGAATTTCATCCATCTGTTTACAATACATCTGTTTACAATACAAAAATATTGTTATGAGGATTTTGTACTCTTGCAATTTGTCATGATTTATACATTTCAATAACGAATAGAAATTGTTTGCACGATATTGCAGTATTTTGTATCATTCCAGCTATTTGTACTGCTACCCCATAATTGTTAGGTCATACTGCAAATTCAACAACAAAAATCTTCCAAACTGATGAGGGGAGGGCCCAACACCTTTACTATCATTCACAATTTTTAAAATCAGTCAACTAACTACTGTAGGAACACACCAATACAATACACTCACAGTCACAACTTAATAGAAGGGGAAAATGTGATTGCACCTTCAAAGACTGAAAACATTTACAAACAAGTACAATGGGAAAGAAGGCGGTCTTGCTGAGTTCAGTGGGACTTTCTAATGGGCATACCCAGGATTACAGCTACAGATCTTGAACCTTGGAGCCCTGAATTCAGTCAGACACACAGTTCAGTAAGACTGACTGACTGCCAAACAAGTGTAAATTTAATGGTACTTATTTCCGAGAAAATATGTACAAGGTCTGGCCTTATGTCTCTAAATTCAGTAGAATAATTCTTCGTAAACACGCGTAGGCACCCTGGGAACCTAGTCTGTAAACCCTGCTGCGCTCAAATGGGGGCTTGAAGCGCTGGAGTAGAGTTTATTTTTCTGGTTCTGGCTTCAAGGGGCCCGGGGAAGAGTGCGGGAAAGTCTAAAGGACCTTTCGTTAAGAATTAAGACACGCTTTTCTGCCTAGGACGAACTGAGCTCCGACTCACGAAAGCTGGTGGAGGAATAAATTTTGTTCCGTGCCACTGAAGTTCAATTTCATTCTGCTTTTCTCTCAAAGTACTCCACTGACCGCTCATGGCAGCGGCGTCTGTCCGACCCCCATTTGGAAGACTTATCTAGTCGGCTACTGGAGCTCCGGGACACAAAAGTTTGGCGTAGCGTGAGAAGACGAAAGAAACCCCTCACGAACGTCACCCCCAACACCATACACACGCGAGGACAACGTTCCCCTCCGGCTGCCCCTCCGTAACGGCTTGCCTTGGTCCCCCTCCCCTTTCCCTCCGGATAGACAGACCGCGGCGGTGAAGGCGGCGGCCGAAGCAACCCTGTGTCCGCGCGAGCTCGTCAGCGCAGGAGCGCCTCCGTCGCGCGCCGCCACTCCCGCCGCGCGCGTGGGCGGCCTCCGCTTCCCTTGCAGGCCGGGCGCCTGCGTACCAGAGGCAAGGGGCCGGCGGTTGAACTCGGCAGCCAGCGTCGCCTCCGAGAAAGGGGGAGTGGAGGGGGGGGGGGAGGCGCGGGCGGGAGCAGAGCCCTCCTTCCCTCCCTTTCCCTAGCCGGGGTTCCTTCCCTTTTGCGGTTCGGTGGCCTCTCTGCTCGAGGGAGGGACGCAGGCGGGGAGGAGGGAGGCTGACCCACCTCTCCAAGTGCCAGTGCACCACCCGCAGCAGGTAAAGCTTACGGAGCCTCAGGCAACGTCTCCCTCACCGCGCTGACCCACCCCTTTCCCGCAACAGCAGAGGACTGCCAACGGCTACCCCCTCCCCACTTTCCTGCCTCTCCCTCTTGGTCCCCTTCTCTCTCTCTCTCTCTCTCCTCCCCCCGCCTAAGTCCTCAGCTGTCACTGCGCAGCAGCGAGGAAGTGGCTGTGTGAGGCCTGTAATGCTAAAGGCTGCTGCTCCTCTCCCACCTCCAGAAGCCAAGCTGAGGCCGGCGCTTCCTGATTCTTTCTGTTGTTTTGGTTCTTTTCACGTATAAGACAGTTTCGAGTTATTGCTCTTTCCCCTTCTCCAGGCCTGCTAATGTAAACGTGGACGTTGTTTTCATCGCTCCCTCTCCCCTCACGTGTTACAAGATATCCCTTATCAAGGTTTCTTGTGTGGGTTTTTTTGGGTGTATATCTGTTAGCCTCACTCCCATTGGCCTAGAAGCTTCCATACTGGCGTTTTAGGACCTGAGTTTCACTTTTGTATTCCTATTTCCTACTAATGCTTACCGCTTGTTCTTCCAAGTGTAGAACACAGTTTTCTTACAGTATCTGCTTACTCAGTAGTTTTGTTGTTTCTACTAAAAGCCTAGATTTCAGGACTGGGGGGGAGTCTCTGTTCTTGTGAATGTTTAAACATCACTTTCTTTTGCTTGTAGAAATAACTTTTTACAGCATATCAAGCAGAGATCTTTCTGTAGACATTTATTTATTTACATTATTTATAGTCTGACTTTCTCACTGGGTTTCAAGGAGGATTACACAGAGTAAGGCAACACAGTCAGTAGGATGAGGTATCCAATAAATAATCAATCAATATACTTTCAGGTACTTTTTTAGTACCTTAAGGTTTCATGGGTTGAGGCCAATGCTTCCTCTAAGCTGTAGAGTTTTGTGAGCAAAAATTCTACTTTGCGAGCTACTGGCATTAAAGTTCTGAGCGAGCAATTTGTCTACTGCATAAATTAGTTTGCTCTGGAGCTGGAGACTAAAAAACTGAGCGAGCTCACATTAACTCAGCTTAGAGGGAACACTGGTTGAGGTTATGGCAATAATTGTCACACCAAAGGTGTACCTACTAGTATGTTACTATAGCCTAATCTCTTGTTTATTTCACATGAGTTAATCTGTTAATTGTATAAACTGGGAGCAAAAGATCTGTGTAACTAGCTCTGCATGCCCAATGGGGCTTTGCGTTTATGTTCTGGAGTAGTTCTCAGTGTCACATGGTAAGTTGCTTGGAAACTGAAGTGACTTTCAAAAACACTTTGTGATATGGCATTAAGATATATTGTTAAAAGAAAAATACTGTAAAATCCCACTAGGTGTTCTCAAGCCCTTGTGTCTGCCTAAACTAGCTTTTTGGATCTTGGCCATGATCTTTATGTATATATGCCAAAATTCTCCCTTTAAAGATCCTGTGAAATTAGTATTTTCTTACTGAAAGAGAACGGTAAGAGTAAAAAGGAAGTTGAACATGAATGCTTCTGTACAAGATGAAATGCTGTTCTCTGGATACTGTGCCTTTTTATACTAACTATACTTGAGGTATTATACTTTTTAAACTTTATATTTCATTAATAAAACATAGTATAATAGTTGATTCTCTAGATGAACTATATATAATCCTCTTGTTTTCTTTATAGAAAGCTCACGGGTATATTCAAGGTATAACTGATTGGGAATACAAAATGGATATTATTTGTGTAGTTGAAGTATTATTGGTGAAGACAGACTTACAGTGTGTGAAGACAGATATATTGCATATTGGGAAAAATTTGAGCATACGTGTACAGCTTTGAAAAAATGAAGAGGTGAGCAGTGACTTACAAAAGCTCATACCCTGCCACAGACTTTGTTAGTTTTTAAGGTGCTATGGGCTCTTGCTCTTTTCTACTACTACAGACATACTAACATGGCTACCCATCTTGATCTACAATCTTCTGCTTAAACTACTTGATCAAAAGATATCTAAAGAAGTGAGCAGTGACTCACAAAAGCTCATATCCTACCACAAAGTCTTTAAGGTGCTACTGGACAGGAAATAATAGTTTGACTGAGTCTGGAATGAGCAGATTTGTTTTTGAACCCATTCTAGTTAGGTTTGAAGAGTGGAAGCCTCTCGGAAGACAAGTAACCTAATCTTAAATAGAGGGACACATGCAAACCTTTTAGGATGGCCTATACCTTTTGATACAACTGAGTATAATATCTGTCTATTAATCAGGGTTGGGGGTGCAAGGCAGCCCATTACATCCAACAAGCTTTTCTACCAGTGAAAAGGGAAGGGGGTACCCTGTGATCACCAAAAAGACTATGCTGGGGCTCATGGGGGCTGCCTGGAGAAAAGCTATGTAAGATGAGGGTTGCAATAAGTAGGGGAATTGTACAAGATTGGGTCAAAAAGCTGTATGGACCCAACCCAGTTTCTTTTCCTGCTTGGAAGACAAATTCTGCAAGATAATATTTCAAGGGAGACTTTAGCTCTGTTCCTTTGAATTGTTCTATGGGATTTGAAGGGCTCTGTTTTGTTCCTTATGCATTAAGCATGAAATTCTTGACTGAGGTCATCAGGAGATTGTCTTAAGGTGCCATCAGTTATGCTGGTAACTGCTTCTTTTCACCAGAGGCAGATGGAGCGATGGATGTGCTGAACAGGCATCTGTAGGTGGTGATGAATGAGATCAAATAAACTAAGGCTTAGTCCAGAAAGGGCAGAACTCTCTTAGCCAGAGGTTATTTGGAATGGGATGTTGAGCTAACTGGGTTAGCATGTCTTCTAAGTTATTTGGTTTGCATCTTGGGGTATGGATCTGTTGTTGTATTTGGATGCATAAGAGGCATGGTCAAAGTGCTGCTTGCCAGCTTTGGTTGGTGAAAGAGTAGCACTTTTTCTGGAAAGGAATGGGCCGGCTAGCTACAGTTATCGATGTTCTAGAGAGCCAGTGTGTTGTAGTACTTAGTGTGGTCTCCTAGGATGTGGGAGATGCTACTGTTACCCCTACCAGCTTTATTAAATAATATTCTTGCCTTTAGTTTGGATTGGGAATTAGCATCAAAGGCAGAGCTAGTGAGAGGTGGGGCAGTAGCGAGATCTGCTATCAGTGTTTATGGCGATAGCTCCATTAAACCCCTGGTTGACTCAGTAACCAGTCCAAATTGTAAAGAGAAATGGGTTTTATTAAGAAAAATAATACTGTAGGTATTTTCACTCAAAATAAAGATTACAAGCAAATAAGAAGAAGCAAAAAGAAGCTAGCAGACAAATAGAGGGGTAGGAGGTTGGGTAATACTATACCTATCCAGATATGCAGGGGTCCATTGCTGGAAAGGGAGGGGACCCAAACTGTGGGGTTTGGGCATGCATCTCTACTGTAGGCTGCCTCAGAGTGACACGTGGTTGAGGTCATGTGAATGGATGGATATAGACATTGTAATACAATGCAGACCAATATGAGGTCTTGAAGGGCTTGTCTCAGGTGAAGACAAAAGATTACCTGGACCAATCAGGGGTCCCAGTGGGTGCAGCATCAGAGGGGCAAGACCTAGTTGTGACCAGTGAGGTCCCAGAGGGACAGAGTCTGGTTATATATATTGTTAATAGCACCTTATGTTGTTGTTTTAAGATTTAATGCTTTTATTATATTGTTGTTTTTAGCTATTGTATATACCGTGTTTCCCCGAAAATAAAACACTGTCTTATATTTATTTTTTCTCAAGAAGACACACTAGGGCTTACACCACAAATAAAATAATAAATAAATAATCTTGAGATTAGCCAGGTGCTTGATGGCTGGGCTAGGAGTGTCCAGGGGTTCCCAGGTAAGGGACAAAAGACTGATGGGATTTATCAATGGTAAAACAGTGTCACTTTGGAAACGTGGTAATGAGTTTCCAGGACTGGACAATAGGAACTGGAGGTTTCTTCTACATGCAAAGTAGAAGTTCAGGTTTGGTTCCTAATTGCATCTCCGGGGGTAAAAGCTTATGTGCTTGTCCATTTGAACTAATCAGAAGGAAGCAATATTGCTTGATGAACCACCTGGTCTTGGGGTGTGGGAAAGGAGCAAGAGGCAAGACTTGTAATTGTCAAGGAAATGTGAGAAGGGAAGATGAGATCATATTGATAGGATTAGTGGTGGAGACTGAAAAGAGAGTTACTCTGGGGCAGGCAGGTCCGTTGTCTGGAGTATACAGATGTCAGCCGGGGGGGGGGTAGTCGCAGCTGTCAGGGCAAGATTTCGTGCTTTTCCAGGGTCATATCTTAGGCATAATTTCTGTCTTGCCAGTCCTAGCCTCCATCCTTATGTTCAGTTGCCTGGTTATGGACTCCTGGGGCACCCCTGTGGGTTCCACTGATGGTTGAAAAGATCCCTCCTGTTGGACAGGGAGTTGGCATACTTACAGCTACCTACTTATTGAGCTGAAACAGATAGTGATGAGGGCTAGGGTTTTTGCAGTAGTGGTATGACTTTTTTTTTAAACTATGTCATTCTTGAGATTCACCTGGGTCCAGCCTACCTGAGGGACCGCCTTTCCCTGTATGTTCCCCCAAGAGCACTACGGTCTGGGGCCCAAAATTTACTAACTGTTCCGGGCCCAGAGACGTAAAACTGGTCGCTACAAGGGCCAGGGCCTTTTCGGTGGCGGCCCCTACCTGGTGGAATGAGCTCCCGGAGGAGATCCGGGCCCTGCAGGATCTGATGCAGTTCCGCAGGGCCTGCAAGACGGAGCTCTTCCACCAGGCCTTCGCGTAGGGGCCGCCGCCGCCCCCCCGCTGCATTGTCATCATGGGGGGGTGGAGAGAGGCCCTAGGAAGCGAACATCTGAACATCTGGACTCTTTAACATCTTATTAAATATTGAACCCACTATACGACCACTGGGAATGTCTGGACGCGGTCCATCAACTTTTGGGGCTTTTGAATTTAAGATATCGAGCACTATCTGTACTGGTTTTTAATTG